GTTACATCGCTGGACTCCCACTCAGTTAACTGCAGTTTGAGTCCTAGACCCGGCGGCTTTAAACTCACGTTGGGTACATATATGTGCTTGCCTAAAATCCTGAGAGGAGAATGGAGGAGAAGGGGTTTTGGGGTGGTCCCCCCCCCGGGGAGTGATCTCTCACTTTCCCTATCACTGTCTCTGTCTCTATTGTGAGCACACTTGCCCTAATGCCAAAAAATCTATCTCTAAAAAAAAAAAAACCCACATTATTGGGCCAGCCTGTGGTGTGGTGGTGAAGGCAGTGGATCTCACATGGTCAACCATGTGGCTCAAGTTCTGGACCCAGCAGCCTAAGAAACACACCAGCACGTGTGCGTGCATGCCCAAAAGCCCAAAGGGAAGGAGAGCTGCAGGAAAAGGGATTGCACGATCATTCCCTGTGGGGAGTGCCTTCTCACTCTCTCTCCCTCCTCTCCACCCTCCGCAAGTGTACTCACCCTCTGGAAATTTTTTTTATAAAATCTGTAGATTCCAAGAGCCGGCATAGCACAGGACGGGAGTGTGGAGCTGGGAGGAGCTCCAACCCCCTCCACGTCTTGACCCACCCCTTCTTGTTTTTGTTGTTGTTGGTTTTTTTTTTGAGAGGTTTGCTCTATAGGGCGCTGGCGCTCGCCAGCCAGAGAGAGAGAGACATGCAAGAAATCACTCCCCGAGGGGGATAGCCTGGGGGGGGGCATGGCCTCGCCTTCTCCTCTTGGGATCTTGGGCATGCACGCACACGCGCCTAGCGTGAGTTTTAAGCCACCGGGTCCGGGACGCAAACCGCGGTCGACTATGTGGGAGTGCAGCGACATAGCCATTACTCTAACCGCTGGTTCCCCGCTTCTTGTTTTTTTGACCGAGGACGCAGGCCTCATTAACCGCTCTGTGCTTCAGTTTCCTCATCCGCCAAAGGGGCAAAGTATCCAGATTAGATCGCTGGGGTCAGAGACGGGGGACGTGGATCGCGCGGCTTGTCTAAGGTCCAGGCCAGGTTCCTAGACCCTCCCTGGTGCCACCAAGGAGAGGGTTGCTCATTCTCCTCCACCTGCCTGGGACCTTTCTCCCCAGATGTCCACAGGGCCATGCCCTCGCGTCCTTCAGGTCTCTGCTCAGATTCGCTTACCAGAGTTCTCCGACCAGCTCCTAGCAACAGCAAGTCTAGCCCCGCTTTCCTGCTCTCTGAGGTGCTCACCATCATTGGTGGGCGACGTTATTGGCTTGTGTATTGTCCCGTCTTCCACTAGGTGGTAAGCCACGTGCGAATAAGGACTTTGTCTGTTTTTGTTTTTGTTTTTTTAATTTATTCACTGAACATCATCACAGCCTACAAAATGCCATTTCCCACCCAGAATACACTGTATAGTGTCTTAATCATTCATGTTACCATCAACAAATAATTTTCCATGTCTTGTTTCTTATATATATAG